ATTTATTTTAATATGTAGGCTTTCTGCCCATTTCTTGAATTTTTATGGAAGAAATCATGGCATTTGTTGTGTAGACTGTACGCACGCATGTGGTATCATTAAAATAAATGGTATTGTTTTGCTTCTATTTGTTCATATTTGTGATGCTTTGCAAATTAATTTTGAATTTTATTTTTTATAGTATGTGCATGTACAAGATGTAGTCGCATTCGCCCACACCCTCTTATTCCATTCCCATTCTTGCTGACTCCCTTTTTCTTTTCAATCAGTACCCCTTGACACCGTGCTACTCTTTTGGGGCAGGCCTTATGCAGCTCGCACAATTGTTGCGCATTCATGATTGCAATGGCCAGGCCGTGTCCAGAAGGCAGCGTTTCCTGTTGTGTGTCTCCATCCTCCAGTTCTCACAGTCTTTCCTTCCCCTCTTCTGTGATATTCTTTAGGCCTTGGAGATGGTGATATAAATTTCTCATGAACATATATGTGAAAATCCGCAACAAAATAACAAATCATTATGGTAGAGGTTGCATTCAGTTCTGGAGCTCCGTAGTAGTCTCCATCTGTGGAAAAAGGAAGCCTTTTTGATGAGGGGTGAGAGGTACACTTGTCTGTAAACACGAGGATGCATATTTAGACTAAAGTAAGAAATTATGTAGGTCTAGGAATGTGGCAAAAGGATGAATTCATCTCTCAACTCTCATCAGAGAAGAGAGATGCAGCAGATGGTGATTAACACGGAAACCCAGAATTGGCCAATGTGCAGAGAGCAAGAAGCCACCTATTTCAAGACTCTCCCTTCCAGCGCTCGGGGATCATTCCAGAAGATGAAGAAAGACTGCAAGAGCCAGAAGTGGTGGGTGGATGACCACAAGGAAACAGGGTCTTCCAGACAGCTGGTCAGTTACTCATACGAACTCACATGGTGACAGCATGCACAAGTCCTATGCAAACTGAAACCAGACAAAATCCGAGTATAGACATTACAAAGTGAGTGAGAAATCCCTACCCAACCTGAGGAACTTTGGGCAACTGATGGATGCTGAGAGGGATGGAGACCAGTGTTTTTCAGGGATGGGACTCTTGGTGAGCCTAGTGGACGGACCTACACTGAAGGACATGTGGGGACACAAATCAGACTTTATAGGCTGTATTACATATGTGGGGGATGTAGATAGAGGAGGTGATCTGGATACCATTAAACTATATTGTATGAAAATCACAAAAATTCAATAAAAATTAAACAATATTAGCAAATCAAACCCAACAATACATAAAAGGAATCTGACATCATGGCCAAAACATATTTATTCTAGGTTACAAAGTTCCTGCCACCATGCTTTGCCTGCTACCACGATTTCCCCATGGTGAGGGACTGTACCACCCTGGAACTGACAGACCGAATGTCTTGTGAATCCAATTACGTGACATTCTGGAAATGCAAAACTACAGAGACAGTGAAAATCTCAGTGATTACCAGTGGGGTTGAGCCAAGAGGGTTAAACAGGTGAAGCATAGTGACTTACCATAGGGCAGTCAGAGTACGCTCTATGATAATATACACACTGTCAAGGACAACAAAACCAGGGAAGCCAGAGAAGCTGTCAGTGAAGAAAAACTTTGCTGACAAGGTGTTGAAGTGTAATGTGATACCCCGGGTGAACTACCGAAATGTCAAAAGTATATTAGGTCAAAACAAACAATTTTGAGCAAACCATGAGCTTTAATTAATATATCAGTTATACTATCTATTGATGTTTTGTTAACTGGAGAAATGTACCATACAAATGTACCATGCACAATTCCAAAAAGTAGGTGAAAGTGAGGGTGTCATATGTGTGAGCTCTTTATATTATCACTGTAACTTCTCTATGAACCCAAACCTATTCTAAAAGTAGTATCTACTGTATTTGCCATCTTTGCATTGCTTTGACCAGATGTCAGACAGAAACAACTCAGTGGAGAGGGGAGATTTAATTTGGCTCTCGATTCCAGATGATTTCAGTCCCTCGTGATCTAGAAAGCACGGTGAAGCAGCTTAAACTTTGGAAGAAGAAATCGCATATGGAGGGACTGTTCCTCATGGCTGTGGGCCGGGAGACAAAGGGAGGCTACGACATTCAAAGACCTACTCCTAATTACCTACTCCTACAAGTTACGCTCCATTTTCTAAAGCCTCTGCAGGCCACCCTTTTTCCCAGCTAGGAAACATATTCAAAACATGAGCCTGTGGGGGAACATTCCTAGTTCAAACTATAACATAACAGCTTATTATAACAGTAACGATAATGACCTGAAATTTCAAAAGCAATTCTGTACATGCTATGGGTACTTCTGATTATTTCTTCTATGACTGTGGTCTTCCCACCCAGTCCAACTGAAGCTAATGGTTAGAATGGCTTCTGCCTGATGTCTCACGATCTCACTGAGAGTCACTGATAAGGCCTAACCTAAGCAGTGATGTATGTGGTCGAGTGGAGATTTTAGGAAAATCTTGTGATGGGCAGGCTGTAGATAAAGAGTAAGAGGGACCAGCTTGGAGTCTGTTGAAATAGTTCAGGTAAAAAAGGTCCTTAGCATGAGCTTGGGGGGAAGGCGTTGATAATGTACAGGATGTATTTGATTCTGTTATTATTATCCAGAGGAGTCCTAAGGAGGTGAGTATTGGGGTTGTGGGGGGAGGGGAGATGCACAAATTTCTAAGTGCTGTGTATTCTATTGTGTTTGAATGCTGATGGGCACTTCAGTAGGGATGTACCTGACACAACCTCATGCTGGTGATAAGTTTGAGATAACCTGAGACAATTTTTCTGAAATGTGGCTAAGTGGCTAACGGCTCACAATTTGAGGAGTTGACGGTAGGGCTTGGCCCAGGAAGGAAAGCACCCCGACTTGATGTTACTGGTGGTAAAGGCTATAGAAGCATAAAGGAGCCAGGGTTTAGGAGGAGGGTAACACCTATGGCTTCCCAACTTTATCTCAGTTCCATACTCAACATTGTTTGCTCCATAGTTAGTGTTGTTCCCAATCTTCATTTTCTTTAATGACACTGTCATTTTCCCTTCAGAGACTAGTCCAGGGACTGCCCCTCCCCCACTTTGTCCATTGTTCTTTCTACTGTTTTTCTAAAGTCTTCTTCAGTGTAATAGGCAGGCCACAAGGTTCTTAAAAATCATGAGAACCATCTTTAATTGAAGAGCCAGGAAGGGAAGTCTGGTGGTATTTCTAGGGAAGGAACCAGAACCAGGTTGGAACCTCCAACCGTCTCCGGCACAGTCGCAGTTCCCTTCCTCACATGGGGAGCTGAACTGAGATGAAATACATGGAGCGGAGCAGTGCTGCGGGCCAAGATCGGGGTCTGCATGGGTGGTGAAAACCATACGGGTTATGACAGATACACTTCTCCCAACCAGCCAGAACGATAGCTTTCTATTTGTAACTGGCACGCACTGATTTTTTGTTTTCATTTTGTGTTCTTTGGGGGGCTGTGGAATATACTGAGTAGATAGGGAGTAAAATTAAAAAAGGAATCAAGATGTTTGCTGTCCTTTGGGACCTGGCCATGAGTCATCTCTAGCCAGGGACCCAAACCTGAGTTTCTTATGTGATGAGAGCAGGAGAAAAAGCTAGGAGAAGATACAGGGCCACACCATTTTCGAGATTTATTACATTGTGCATGTTCACAGAGTGAGCCATAACACTAGGATCCAAGTTGCTACATTAGCAACAGCTCTTCAGGAAGAGGCCCTGAGAGTTAAGGTTGGGATTGAGCTCCTTGAAGGTGGATGCTGGGCCATAACTTTCTGTTTCCCAGCCTCACAAAGACACGTGAAAGTCAGGGTCAAGTAGATCCAGGGATAGGTGAGCCAGGCAAGGGACCTGAAGCAAGTATGGTGGGTGGCTCTCTTCCGTCGAGCGGGATGGTCTGAGGACCTCTGGGCAATGAGGTGGCTGCTTAGTTTTAGCATCACTGCACTTCCTGGTTGTGCTCCTGCTTCTCGGCAGGGAGCAAGCCTTCGCCTTTCACTGGTTGGACTGGCTGGGTCTCTTGGACCTGGTCTGGGGTTGGGGCAATAGCTTGCTCCAGCTGTTTCTCCTGTTGCTTCCGGTGCTGCAGCAACTGCTCGCTCTTCCTTTCCAGTTGCTCATCTTTCTTGGCTAGCTCTTGATCCGGTTGCTGGTCCAAGAACTTCTGGTGCGAGTCCTCCAGCTGCTGCTGCTGCTCCCTTGATGCTTTCTCTTGCGCAAGTGGCTGATCCAGGCTTTTTGTTTCCGGATGTTCTTCATGCTCTCCCTCCTGCTGGTGCTGCTTCCCCAGGTGCAGTTCTGGCTCATTCGGCTTCTGCTTCTGGCCCTGTCCCAGGGGTGGTTCAGGCTCCGGTGGCTCCTGCTGGTGCTGCTTCCCCAGGTGCAGTTCTGGCTCATTCGGCTTCTGCTTCTGGCCCTGTCCCAGGGGTGGTTCAGGCTCCGGTGGCTCCTGCTGGTGCTGCTTCCCCAGGTGCAGTTCTGGCTCATTCGGCTTCTGCTTCTGGCCCTGTCCCAGGGGTGGTTCAGGCTCCGGTGGCTCCTGCTGGTGCTGCTTCCCCAGGTGCAGTTCTGGCTCTGGCAGCTTCTGCTTCTGGTGCTGTCTCAGATGTAGCTCCCATGGCTCCTGTGGCTGCTGCTTCTGCCCCAGGTGGAGCTCCTGCTCCTGAGGCTCCTGTGGCTGCTGCTTCTGCTCCAGGTGGAGCTCCTGCTCCTGTGGCTCCAGCTGCTTCTTTCCCAGATGCAGTTCCTGGTCCTGAGGTTGCTGCTGCTTCTGTCCCAGAGTCAGTTCCTGTTCCTGAGGATCATGCTGCTGCTGCCCCAGGTGCAGTTCTGGATCCCGAAGCTTCTCCTTCTGGTGCTGATTCACATGCAGCTCTTGTGCTTCCTGCAGCTCTTGCTGCTGCTGCTGGTGCTGCCCCAGGCACAGCTCCTGCTCCTGCGGCTCTTGCTGCCCCAGACACAGCTCCTGCTCCTGTGGCTGCTGCTGCTGCTGTTCACACTCTTGCTCAGGCAACCCCTTCACAGGGCTTGTGTGCTTCTCCTCATGTTTTGAGGGACCCGTCTCCTGGAGCTCAGAGGACACCTTCTGGCATAGGGAAGATGGAGTTGACTGCTTTATTTGTTCCTGCTGGGTATAGGCTGGAGGAGAAACAGTCTTGTGGCATTCCTCAGCAACAGCAGGGACAGTTCCTGGCAGTGTGTGTTGCTGAGACATCTTGGAAGCCACTATAAATCAACCTGAAAAGCAGAAGAGCCCGAGAGTGGCACGAGGCATATGAATGAGCCCCTGAAAATACAGAGCAGCCCTGTGGTTCTCAGGATCCTTTCTTTCAGATGGGCATTCTCCCCCTCCCGTAGGTGGCAGAAGAGAGTGAAGGGTGGGAATGATGAGGGCCAAAGAAAGCCCTCTCGCAAGGCTCTTTGTACAGCAGGCATCCTGCAAGGATGGGCTGGGTGCTATTTAACCTGCTTTTGTCTAGTCTTTCCCTGTGTTCTTATGTCAGATCTCCACTGAGTAAGGATGAAAGATAAGTTCTGAGATGATTTCACAGCATGAAGGAAAACCCTAGAAAAAGAAAGATCTCATAAAAGACCGAGTCCTGAAAACCAAGTGTCTGTGCTAGAGAGTAACTGAGAAATCACTGAAGCAGCCTCAGACTCAGCATACTCCAGGCCTGTCTCCCACTGAAATGCTCTGGATTTCTGGGCTAATCACTTTGTCCATCTGGGTTTCAGATTTCTGCTCTGCAAAATTAGCAGGTTTTCCTATTCACTTGAGAGCTCCTTCCTTCCCTGATCTTCTGCATGAGAGCTGCAGTCCTAGGACCTGGGGTAGGGGATCAAGGGCAGCTGGAGGGTTGCTGAGAGCTGGAGCTTGTTAGTGCAAGCCTTATACTTCTGCTGAGTTTTCCTGCCCCTGTTTGCCTGAGTTTCTCCACACAGAAAGAACTACAGTATGTTTTCCTAAGCACAGTGACCTGTCCCATAGAAGAAAAGATAGTGCAGCTGAATCCAGTCCCAGAATCATGCCTATTCCCACATGGAGCAGACACCCCCCAGCCATGCCCTGGCCTGTTGGGAACTGGCAGCCCCATCTATGGTCCCAGCAGCTGACACTCACCAGACTCCTAGAAGGCAAGAGGCAGAAGCTTCCAGTGCAGTGTTGAGCTGAGTAGGAGACAGGGCCCTTTATACTGTTCCCGCCTAGCCTCCTTCCCAGGTTGGAGGTGGTGGGCTGGTCTCACCACTCGAGTTGGTCAACTTCTAGCTTCTTTCTGACTCACCATAGGTGTCTTGGGCAGCAAACCCCTCAGGGCTCCTTTTTCCAGCTCCTTCCTGGCCAGGGGATTGTAAGGGTTCACTCAACAGCTCCTATGATGCTCATTTGACCTGGGCACAGGGGAGGAGAGGGAGGTGAGGAACGTATTCTACTTTATGACCTCAGCCAAACTTACCCTCTGAATCTCAGTGGACTTAACCTTATTTTTAGGCTGAGGGATTCATTTCCAATGGCACGGAATGAAGTTTTGTGACTTTGGGATATCCAGGCCAATGTCTGTGTTAGGAAGGTGAAAAGAGTCACTGCTAAAGGGGTAGATCTAGGTGGTAAGGCGTTCTATCAGGCTATGAGTCCATTTATACTCAAAATATGCAATTCTATAACTCCATTCTTGAGGACATAAGATCTGTCTTGGAGGTGGTTTGGGAAGGTTTACACGATTTTTCCTGCTACATACCAGAGCAGCTCCTACCCCACACCCAAGGCTGCATTTGCAGAAGTTCCCAAGAATCCCACGCTCTTCAAAGTTCCTAGATCACCCCAGGCAAGCAAACACATGATTAGAAAGCAATATATGATATGTGCATTATTTTTCATGATGATAACACTTTCTATAACTATTTTTGGAAATTCACAGCACCACATAAGTTCAGAGCTAAATTCGCTGTCCACACCCCAGGCAAGCAAACACATGATTAGAAAGCAATATATGATATGTGCATTAGTTCAGAGCTAAATTCGCTGTCCATTGCCATCTCCAAAAATTTTCTAAACTAGATTAGAGCATAGTTTGGAGGGCAATCCCTCCCGATGCTCATGGTGATCCAGCACACTTAAATTAAAACTCAGATTCACTACCATAGTTGGAAAGGCCCTGGTTATCCGGTTCCTATCTTTCTCTGGGACCTTGACTCACGCTACTTTGTCCCTGACAAGTGTGTTACCACCTCACTGTGGGTTCTCAGTCCCTAGGACAAGCCCAGAGCGTCTCGCCTCCGGACTGAACACCTGCTCTCCCTCTGCAAACAGGCTCCTCTTCAGAGTCCTAGCACATATGGCTTTCAAGCTTCAATGGCAATGTTGGGGTCTGACGGAGATCCACCACTGACTATCCTACATAAAAGATTATCTTCTGCGTTAAGTCACTAAAAAAATTCAGAATTACTTTATTCATATTTATTATTATTTTATTATTTATCTTTCCCATTAGAAAATAAGCTACATAAGGACAGAAGTATACTTGGTATGCTTTCCACTTTCTGAGAAACTTTCAAAGTCACCACATATCCTAAGAGCACTGCCAGTATTGGATGAAGGAATGAACAGCAAATCTGTCACACAGAGAGAAATACTAATTTTTAAAAAATATTTTATTTATTATTTTTATTTTATATGTATGAGTGTTATGCCTGCATGTAGGTAAGTGCACCCAGGTCATGCAGTGCCCGTGGAGGACAGAAGAGATTGTTGGATTCCCTGGAACTGGAGTTACGGACAGCTGTTAGCTGCCCTGTGGGTGCTGGGATTCAAACTGGGTCTTCTGCAAGAACAGCCAGTGTTCTTAACTGCTGAGTCATCTCTCCAGTCCTGAGAAATACTAATATTTTAATGTCAAAACAATATTTTTGTGTGTTTATTTGCATGCCAGTAAAACAAAACTGAATTTTGGCTTGTCTTCATTTTATTTTTTTTAATTTTAATTATTTTTATTTTTTGTGTGAGTGTTTTTGTCTACATGTGTATATACAACCCACTTGCATGCCTGGTGCCAGAAGAGGGTGTTGGACCCTCTGGAACTGGAGCTTTGGACAGTTGGTGGGTTCTAGAAACCAAACCTGGGTAGTCAAGAAGAGTAGCAAGTGCTCTTAACTGCTGAACCATCTCTTCAGCCCCTTGCCTTTATTTGTAATAAGCAGCTTACTTTATAGAGCTCTTAATTTATCACTCTCTTCTTATGACTTAATTAGTAAAAGAGATAATGAAGCCTGGTGTGGTGGCTCATGCCTTCAGTCCTAGCACTTGGGAGGCAGAGGCAGGTGAATCTCTATGAGATTGAGACCAACCTGGTCTATATAGTGATTTCTAGGCCAGCTGGAGCAACAGGGAGATTTTATCTAAAAAAAAGAAAAAAAGAAAGAAAGAAAGAAAGAAAGACAAGAAGTAGTTGAATAATTTAAAGACTAAATTTGGAGGGGCTAGAGAGATGACTCAGAAGTTAAGAGTACTGGCTGCTCTTACAGAGGAACTGGGTTCAATTCCCAGCACCCAAATGGTTACTAACAACCATCTGTAACTCCAGTTCCATGGAATCCAATGCCTTCTGATTCTGAGGATATTGTATGACATGGGTGCATTTACACACATGCAAGCAATACACTCATACACACAAAGATTAAAATAAAGACTAAAGTTTGAGAAGTGTCCCAATACCTATAGTGATCCTGATAAGCATCTCTCTCTCTTAGGCCTAAGTTAATCTGTTTATAGTGCTAATTTTGTCATGTTCCTGGAGTTCAATCTATAAGGATAGGTAGAGAACTTACAAGCTTCCTTTGGCCTCTTGAATACTTTTTCTCTTGCCTTCTCTGTTCCCCGAGCAACCCAGGGATCTTGCATTGCTCCCCTGCAGAACCTGAACTGTGCCATTTTCTAGGGCCTCTACAGCCCACCATAAGAACTGACCAAGCATTCTCACATTGGCATTGGTGCCCTTGTGCTCCACCGTTGACCTCACAAAGGAGGAATCTGCCTTTCCCCAGCTTGTGACACAGCCAGGGCAGCAGACTCTGATCAAGGAAGTCACACCGGTCTTATGGGTTCCCAGAGATTCAGTATCTGCCAGATCTGCCGCCCACTCTCTGATTCAGAGCATAATAAGAGCTTTGAAAATACAGTGTGTGTGCATGAGCGTTTGACCACTGGGTGAAGCTAGGGTGTGGGAGGGAGGGTAGAGGATGAACCCCAGGGAGTGTGTGTACACTCAGGGATGGGGGCCTCAGGGGCCCCATATTCTGCCCTCAGGTTGCCCCCATTAGGGACAGAAGAATGCACGTATATAGGGAAAATTCTCTCAGTGCTGTGTGACTGATTTCATAGATCTCAGGTCTGCACTATAAATCCAAGTAACTGTCCATCCCCTGCCCAGTATAATGAGGGTGAACTTATGATCCATGACCCATGGAGAGGCCTTGACCCAGCTTTTCCCCAGCCCTATGAGGCCCTGGCAGGTTCTTATCCAGAGGCAGAAACTGTCTGGTTTCTATCTCCTCAACAAGGCAGCCTATTTGAGCTATTGGTTAGTTGTCCAGGGCAAAAGGATTAGTCATGGAAATCCATTGTCCTGGGAGGAGGGGTAGGTAGAGACATTGAGGACAGTTCTTTATAAGGTGCCAATATAGGGTGATGGCAGATGGCCCTGGGAGGATGATTTGGGCCAGATCTCACGTTCTCGTCTTGGGTAGCCATGCTCTGCTTATTCTTTGGCCTGGAGATGCTCTGAGGATGCTGACTTCCTTCCCTCAGGCTACCATTTCCTAAATCATCCCTGTACCTGAAACCTGTCCTGTCTGCCTCCTCATATACCTTGAGCTTTCCTTGTCAACCTCCATTGCCTGCTGAACCTGACCCTGGTTTCTCAGTTGCCTTTGGTTTTGTGCCCTTCTGCTGCTAAGGAGAGAATGAGCCAGGGAAGGAGATGGAACCAAGAATTACCACTAGAGCTGATTCTTCCTCCTTGGGTTTCTGGGCAGACCTTCCTGATTTGACTTACTTTCTTTTCTACAACTTCATCTGGCTGCCCGCCCCCTCTTGGCCTGCCGAATTTCTGGTCCTCACTTTTAGCCTCCCGTGCCAGCCCTTTCTCTTGATTCCAGTAGCTGTGGAAGGACAGTTTCAGTTTTGTTCTTGATGACAGCAAGAAGACTGAAAAGCATGGA